GAGATTGGATTTATACCACGCCCTTCACTCAAAGTCTCAGAGCAGTTTACAAATTCCTTTCCCTTCTCCCCACAACAGACACCCTGTGAGGTAGGTGGGGCTGAGAGAGTTCTTTTAAGAACTGCTCTTTCAAGAACAGCTCTGACAGAACCAGGGCTTTTTTTGTAGAAACCCCCCAGCAGGAACTCATTAGCATAATTGGCCACACCCAACAGCAGAAATGAATTAGCATATTAGGCCACACCCCTGACAGCACAGCTCATTAGCATATGAGGCCACACCCCTGTTACCAGAAGTGTGGTCATCCAGCCACACCCACCTTTTGCTTCTTATTCTGTTTACCTTGTTTGTTGTCAAAACCCAGGGCTTTTTTGTAGCAGGAACTCCTTTGCATGTTAGGCCACACACCCCTAATGTAGCCAATCCTAATGAGTTCCTGCTGTTGGGTGTGGCCTATTATGCTAATGAGTTCCTGCTGGGCGTGGCCAACTCGGGAGCCAGCCGGAACTCCGTTCCTGTGCGTTCCTGCCCCAAAATAGCCCTGAGAACTATGGCTTGCCCAAGGTCATCCAGCAGCTGCGAGTGGAGGAGTGGGGAATCAAACCTGGTTCTCCCAGATTAGAGTCCGTGCACTTAACCACTACACCAAACTGGCTCTCCTACACCAAACTGGCTGGTGCACTACACCAAGCTGGTGCACAGAGCTGGTACACAGTGTAATGAGCAGTGAGATGGAGAAAGAGGGAGAGGAAAGCTGGTTAGAAAGGTATAGAGTTAAACCTTTTTAAAGCCCGTAATTGTCTCCTTTATCTTCATGTTTGTTAAATGCACAAATGCTGGATGTTACCCAGTTGAGTAGTTTTAAGATCTGCAGAAGCAATGATTTGCATATTCTGGAAGTACTTTTGGAAATCAACAAATTATGAAGAGATTGTTTTCTGTTCAGAAGGCATGAAATTGCCATTCCATCGGTTTCTCTGGATCAGACACATAGCAAATACTTTAATAAGAGAATGATTTAAGATCATCAAAGACAATCTTTGAGTTTACAGGTAATAATGACTATTTATCTGGGGAAGCTATCGCTCTCACTCTTAATATATCTGAATAAAAGCCCTTTGGGTTATGTTGGAGAAAGGGAAAGGTTTGGTTATGGATTACTATTCCTCTAGGATTTGAACCCAAAGCCATCATCTCCAGCCCTCTGCTGGCTACGCTTGGCTGTTCAAGGTAGTGTTGGCATCAGTTTGTATGGAAAAGAGCAGCCATGCCAGTAGAGGTTTTTTCATTTATTTTCTGCATTCGCTTCAGTTCTACTTTTTGAAGAGAAGCAGAGTGTGGAGAGAGGAAGGCAGCTGATGTAGGACTTGGATGCTGGATTACCCACCAATGTCCCACTGATTGTCTGGCAGCCCCGTTCTCACAGTGCCGTGCCAGCAAAGATTCTGGGCTCATTAGGGAGAGGCAATCAAAGCCACTGCCTTGAGCTGTTGAAGCTTCAGCGTTGCTGAGAAGCAGTACGAGGTTTCTGTGATGCTCCCCGAGCTGTTTCCTGACATCTGGCAAAATGGGCCCTATCCAGTTTTGTGTTCTGAATGCAAAGGACAGGCATTGTCTTTTACAGATCTGATATACCAGTCTAGCTACAAAGACTTCCTTGCTTGATCCTAAAATTTGTATACGACTTGTGTGTTACTGGTGGATAACGTCAAACGCCTCATTGTTGTGTATTTCCAGATCTTTACTTCTCCTTATAATGATGTTGTAAGTTAGGCCACTTTTCCAGCTGGGGAACGAAGACCATGACACAGTGCAGACTTAACAGCAGCAACCCAAGGTTGGTTGCTTCATGTATGAGCCGTAAGGAAGCTGTTCGCATAACCTCTAAAACCCCCCTCCTCTCCTCCTACATGACTGTCTAGTGTCTGTCAACTTGTAGCAAGCTATGGTTTGCTGTTATGATCAGACCTGCAAACTATGGTGTAGCAGGCAGAACCAAGAAATGCACCCCACAGACACAGGAGCCAATTAGAGCAGTGCCCTGATTCAGCTAATAAGAACTGTGTAGCGCAGAGGTATCGAACTCATTTGTTATGAGGGCCGGATCTGACTTAAATGTCTCTTTGTCGGGCTGAGCCATGCCCGCCATAAAATGTAACATGAGGTACCAGAGATATAAACTTTATGAAGGTGATTTCAGATGCCGAATGGCAATAGCAGATGAATGACAATAGCAGACTTGATTGGATAAGGTGTGATATGCAGAGGGGTGGTATTGCTAGTATTTATAAGTTGCTTAAGAACAGTTTTGCAGGGGGCCAAACTAGGGTTGCCAACCTCCTGGTGATGGCTGGAGATCTCCTTGGATTACAACTGAACTCCAGGAGACAGAGATCAGTTCACTTGAAGAAAATGATCACTTTGGAAGGAGGACTGTATGCATTGTAGTAGTGCCTAGGCAATTGGTTCCATTGTCAAAACTCTCTCACCATCGAGCTGTAACCGACCTACGATCACCCCATTGGGTTTTTAAGGCAAGAGACATTCAGAGTTGGGTTCCCATTGTCTACCTCTGTGTAGTCTTCCATCCAAATACTAACCAGGGCCAACCCTGCTTAGCTTCCAAGATCTGACAGGATTGGGCTTAGCACTGGTTTTTCCTAATCTTTGCCTGAAAGCCTGTCACTTAAGCCCATTAAATCTACCCTTCCCTCCATGGAATAGCAAAAGACCGATCTCTGCCCCCTTCCGTGTGATAGCTCTTCAGGTCCCTCTGAACACTCATCTTTCCCAGGCTAAACATACAAATTCCTTCAGCCTTTCCTCATCGGACTTGTTTTCCAGACCCCCCAGCCATCTCCTCTGATCTCATTCCAATTTGTGGACATATTCCTTAAAATGCAACACATAGAACTATACCCAGGAACTCCAGATGAGGTCTGACTAGTGTGGAGTAAAATGGAACGATTTCTTTCCGTGACTGGGATTCTACGCTTGTAAACGCTGGCAGAGAGGATGAATGCAGTCGATAGGTTATGTCCTGAGAATGTAGTTCTGCATTGAGGCCCCTCCACCTAGATGATTTCATCTGCCACTAACAGCTGCTGCAGAAGGGGTCCCTCTGTTTTGCCTCCGAGGATGCTCTTTGAGATCTAGGAGTAAACAGGAAACCACAGAAATGGTAGCTGGCACTCAGATAAGAAGCTCTGGATAATGACTCTCAGAGGCCAGGAGGAAGGATAATATCTAACCGAGCATTTCTTGGTTATCCCCTTTGGGGGATCCCTATGTGATGCAATGTCTGTATTATACACAAAGAAGAAAGCTTTCTGGGCCCTCTCCGTGATGAATGCTGTGTTCTCTTTCAGTCAACAATGCATTTGGGTGCATGAATTGCATCCTTTTTTCATGGATGAGCCAGCAAAGGGGCACTTTGCAGCCAAAAAGTACAAATTGAATTTTTACCTTGCCCACTATCCACTTTGCGCTAACCCCATCCCCGCAGTCTCCCTGCATTATTGTCTCATGTACAATCTTTTTTTGGGGGGAGGATTGAGTTTAGGGAGGAGTGTTTTGGCCTCTTTGAATCAGAAGGGTTGTATAGACGATCGACTGACTGCATACCCCTGGCATTGAAAAGTGTTGGGTATTACAAGTTGAAAACACTCTGGGGTTAAATGTTTGTTTATGTTACTCACAGGAAGTCACATGTTTCTCATGTAACCAATGTTCTTTAGATGTAGAAAGCCTGGGAATTTTCTCCCTGATCTAGGAATTTGATTGGGACTAAAGTGTCAAGGTGTATTACCATTTTATGGCTTCTCTTCCCGTCTTCGTTTGGTGTTCTGAAGAAGAAGAGTAGCCATAATCTCTCTCTTCTAGTTTTGTCTTTGTAGAGTAAGGATGTAGTAGATTTTGCTCTGTTGTTATTTTCATCCCAATTACCCTTCCCATGCTAGGATTTAGTAAAAACTTTATATTTTAATCACACATGGACTCTGAATTATTTTACTCTGGCACTGCTGGACTATATTATCTCTGCTAAATACCAATTTTTCAACAAAAAGCATCCCTCTCCTCCCTGGCCCACCTCTATTGATCAGTTTTTCATCTTGAAAGCAGTTTTTAAAAATCAAGAGCTGTGTGATTGTTTAAATGCTTCTTAATACAAACAGTATTTTAAATTAACAAACAAACAAAACAGGCAAATAGCCCACCGGGATCAAAACAGAGACCAAGACAGTAAGGTTACACCAGCAGTTTTGAAGCATTATGAAAGAGGTTGTGTGGGTACCTTGATATATGGCTGAACCAAAAAGGATACCCTTTTCATGAAAAATTTCACAACCTGTGAAAGATGCCCCATCTGGTTTGGAGACAACGAAGGGGGCACTTGGAAAATGGGGCAGGAAACATTGCCCTCATTCTGATTTGGCATTACAGTTGGACTACCCAGAGAAATTTGATTGGCTATGTGGCATCATGATGTCATCCTACTGGCAACGTAATTCCTGATTGGCTGGATCCTGTAGCTGGCAAGAAGAGCAATAACAGGAGTAGAATGATGAGAAAAAGATAAAGATCTGAGACTAGTTGCAGAGACCATTTCGGCCCCCTCAAAACTCTCAGACTGATTTCCCACAAGCAGCTGCGTCACCCTCGCTCTTCCCTTCCCCCAATTGTATTCGTCAATTTCCCATTACTTGCTGCACAGCTGCATTTTGACCCACAGCTCCACCCGATTTCCCCTGCATCTTTTCGATCCTCAAAAAACAGGATTGAGAAGACGCGGGGGGAATCGTGCGAAGCTGCGGGTCAAAATGTGGCTGCGCAGCAAGTAATGGGAAATTGATGCTTAAAATCGGGGGAAAGGGACGAGCGAGGCGGAGCAGCGCCTTGTGGGAAATCGGTCTCATTGCTTTGCACTGAAAATATTTGTCCCTGACATTTCCATCCAGCCTTTAACAACACCTATTCTCTCTCACACCCTGTATCCTCAGTTACTGTATCTACTTCCGTCTGAAGCAGGTGGGAGCAGCCTGCAACCTGCATTTCTGGAGCAGCCAGTTGGTGAGAGAAAGGCGCGTCTGCGTGGAGTGCCAAGGGGATGCTGTGGGAAGCAAGAAAAGATGTCAAGGGGATGGCCTGCAGGGAGCCAGGTGGGTCCTTGATTGGAAGGGTCCTAGATCTGTCCTTATCCGCCTCTCAGATGAATTATGCAGCGCAGCAATTGTATGAACTCCAGCCACCTGTCAGACTGTGTGACGCTGGCAACTGAGGACCCCCTTGCTTCTTGCTTTTAAGGAGAACCCTCATTTCTTTGTGCTGCCTTGCTACTGCTGTAGTCTCCACTTGTATCTAATGCTGTAGCTTCTTCCATGCTAGTCTCCCTGTTGTATTCTGCAGCAAATTCAGGATACGAGTCCTCACTTTTTAAAGAAATCCCACTGACTGGATCCAGGCCCATAGCTACAGTGGGGCATTTTGGGGCCATGCCCCCTTAAGTTAAAAGCCTCGCCCCCACAAATAGCCATGCCAGAAACCTTATTTTTGGGGGTGGGTGGGTGGCTATTTGTTGTATTATTTTATATGTCCGTGTGTATGTGTAGAAACCTTATTTTTGAGGAGAGACCCCCACAGGCAGCGCCCTCAGGCTTAATACAACTGCTTGCTAGATGTATCCTGCTGGGGTAGTACAGGTGTGGAGACCCCTTACCTCTCTCCCTGCTGCCTTACTTCCCGTTCACAGCTGCTTTCCTGTCTTACAATGTTCTGAAGTGATTGGGAGTACAGCAAAGTAAGTTGGGGATGCTTCAGTTCTCCATAAAGCTCGAGACCCTCCAGATAAGAATCTTCATAAGATCTCTTCAGCAGCCTCCATACTTACAATTGGAAGGGAAAAAAGAGTTGGTTTTTATCCTCCGCTTTTCTCTGCCTTAAGGAGTCTCAGAGCAGCTTACAATTGCCTTCCCTTCCTCTCCCCACAACAGGCACCTGGTGAGACAGATGGGGCTGAGAAAGTTCTGAGAGAATTGTGACTGGCCCAAGATCACCCAGCAGGCTTCAGGTGGAGGAGTGGGGAATCAAACCTGGTTCTCCAGATTAGAGTCCACTGCTCTTAACCACTACACCAGGGGTGTCAAACATGCGGCCCGGGGGCCAGATGAGGCCCCCAGAGGGCTTCCATCAGGCCCACAGTGGAACTGGCCATCCTTCAGGTGGAGGAGTGGGGAATCAAACCTGGTTCTCCAGATTAGAGTCCACTGCTCTTAACCACTACACCAGGGGTGTCAAACTCATTTGTTCTGAGGGCCAGATCTGACATAAATGAGACCTTGTTGGACCGTGGCATGTGTGTCATAAAATGTAATGCCAGGTAGCGGAGATATAAACTTTATAAAGGACACAAACGACTTTTTTTTTTACTTAAAAGAAAAACATTAGCACTCTTGCAATATTTTGTTTATTTAACAATGTCTGATAATGGACACCTCTTGCTCTGAATTATTGCAACAAAATGTCTGTGCTGCTGCAATCCTGAGAATGCTGTTCAGGTGTGTATCTGTAAGCTGCAAACCTACGATGACGCAGCAGCAGTAGAACTGGAAGAAGCAGCAGAAGACAGCCAGTTCCACTGTGGGCCTGATAGAAGCCCCCCCCTGGGGGCCTGATCTGGCCCCTGGGCCACATGTTTGACACCCCTGTACTACACCACTCTGGCATATACACCTGCATAAACTAGCCTTAAAAGTATCTTCTTAGCCGCTGCTGGCTGATTATCCCAAAACAAGCTTGTGAATTGTGGTAGAATGAAGAGGTATGGTGTGAAGTAACTAACTCTGTGTTTGCTGTGTTTCCCTGCCTAGAACTTTCTGGACTGCTGCTTCCGTTGCTGGCTGCCAGGGCTCTTGGGTGCAGGAGTCTTCACAGGGAATCTGTGTGTGTCCTCCGCATTCCTTCATCTTTGTATGATGTTCTGTCAAGCTGGGGGAGAGTTTTAAGAAAGAGAGAGAGAAGTACCAGATTCAGCTGCCGGTTTCTAAAGAACAAGCTGAAGACATGAAGGGAGATACCAAATGCAATTTTCGTGCCAATTTTTACCTCAACATTGCTTACAGTTATTACAAACCCACTTTTAAAAAAATATTGTCCGCTGGGCTATGTATTGTTTCAAAGCACCAGAATATCTCATTCTCTCTCTTGAGGAGGAGGAGGAGAAGAAAAAAATACCTCTGAAAAACCTCGTCACCTACCTCCGACGCTGCAGATAAAATGGAAGGTTGCTCTTTTTTTCCTGCTTTCAGCAACAATTCCCATTGCTATTTAAGGGAAGAATCAAATGGCAGCTGTCCACTCCTTAATTTCTTTTAATAGAAAACACAAAGAGTGGAGATTTCAGTGTGCTCGTTTGTTGCTTTATCCTTTGTGTAATACATTCCCGCAAAGTCTACAGGACCTGAGATGAGTAATTGTCAGTAATGTGTCCCCACTGCCTTTGATAAACAGGACTTAAATGTGCTTAAGTTCTTTTGGGTTATGTCCAAAAAGTGTGCTTGTGTTTTAATGCAAAATGCATCCTAGAATGCCTAATCACATGGTTGCATAAGTCTTTCTAAAAGCCCACCAGGAAGGACAGGAAGTGATGTCACGATTACATCTAGCTATTCAGGAAGTGAATAGCTAGATGTAATGGAGCTTAAAAAAAATCATTCCTATTACGTCACCTTTTCAGAGGGAAGAGCTACCTGTGCATGAAGTACTAGGTTCTGTACTGGGTGTTGTCTTTAGAAGCCAGTTATGCCATATATGTTATTTTTAGAGGAGCTCTTAAAGAGTTAAAATTATGGCCTTTCATGTTGCTTGATGTTTGGGGTGTTTCTTTCTAGGAATTGGGGTCTCAGATTAACTTTATTCCAAACAAAAATGAGCATTTAAAGATCTAAATGATTCATTAGGTATATTTCCCCAAAGTGGCAAATACACCTATCCCAGAGTTGTTTTCCACCTGAACACTAGGGATGATTGTGAACTCATCCTTGCTGTTTCCACATGGAACCCAAAGTTCCCTCTAATCACATCCTGAGCAGAACGTAACTGCTGTGATCTTACAATGGGCAGTGCAAGACCCTGCGTGGCTCCAGACTGCTGCTGAGCGGGGCTTCCTGTGTTAATGAGCGGCCGCTCATACACACAGCTTGGAGGGAACACTGACTGAACCCCCATTTTCCTTGTGAGAATCCATGGTTCTTTATTCTTGTGCCATTCTGTTTTCTTGCTTGGAACTTTTCCTCTCCATACAACGTATACAGTATTCAACGTTATTTGTGCATCAATAAATCAGCATTCTACATTAAATGTATAAATGATGTACACTGTATGTATAAATACCCTATGATTGTATATAAAGACTACCACATGCATATGCAATAAACCAAATCTATACAACCTACGGCAAAGAATGAAGCAACTGTTGAAGGATATATCTATATCTGGGTAGATGGATCTAAATATAAAAAGAAGTGAAACTGGGAGCATTTACGTATCTCTTGCAAATATTAACAACCTGAAGTTTCTATGGGGCTTCATTAGAGGATTGTCCAGATGAAAGCTATAGAATTTATGCACCAAAGTGTATTAATTACAAGTTGTTTCTCTTAACCCAGGCAGATACGGCTCTGTTCACAGGAAACTGGGCTTGCTCCATTGCTCCAGGAGAGGGGGAGATTCTTCCATGTGTGAACGTGCTTGCATTGATTGCACAGAATCGTTGTCACAGACTGTGACAGTGAGTGAAATGTGCCCATGTATTTGTTTGTTTTCAATGGGTTAAGGTGGTTGGTTTCAATTGGTTCCGGAGCCACTCTCCTGCACAGCGTGAACAGGTAATGACAGAATCTCTTTGGTAGTGGGAGCATACATAAGCAGTGCCAATGAAAATGAATGCCTAGTAGTGCCACTCTAAGCAGAGTTATTTATTGATTTACAAATTAGACTTTTAAACCACCCTCCCTGGTACACACAAGGCTCAGGGCAGTGAACCACAATAAAGCACATTAATAAGTTAATAAAACAATTTAAAAAACGATATAATAAGCAATTAAAACCTTGAAATGGCACTAAAACTTCAGATTGCGCCACTGCCTTGCAGGGGGAGGCAGGAAAAAGAGGAAAGTGGGTGCCAGACAAGATGGAACCAGTGTTCCCTCTAAGCTGAGTGAGTGTGAGCTAGCTCACAGTTTTCTAGCCTCCAGCTCACACATTTTTGTCTCAGCTCAGGAAAGATGGCTCAAGCCAAATTGCTCGCTCACAACTTTAACGCCAGGAGCTCACAAAGTAGAAGTTCTGCTCAGAAGACTCCACAGCTGAGAGGGAGCATTGGATGGAACCTGTCACTTTCCACAACCAAAAGCCTGGCGGAACATCTCTGCCTTATGGCCCTGCAGAACTGCATTAGGTCCCACAGGGCACAGATATCATTTGGCAGAGAGTTCCATGAGGTCGGAGCCAGGGCCAAAAAGACCCTGCCTCTGGTCGAGGACAGCCGGATGTCTCTTGGGCTGGGGATCACCAGTAAGTTTGTTGTTGTTGTTGTTCAGTCACACAGTCAAGTCCGACTCTTTGCGACCCCATGGACCAGATCACTCCAGGCCTTCCGGTCTTCCGCCGTCCTCTGAAGTTTGCTCAACTTCATGTTTGTTGCATCTATGACACTGTCTAACCATCTCATCCTTTGCCGTCCCTGTCTTCTTTGACCTTCAATCTTTCCCAGCATCAGGGTCTTCTCCAGTGAATGAAATTGAATGCCTAGTAGTGCCACCCTAAGCATTTGGTGGCCAAAGTATTTGAGCTTCAGTTTCATTATCTGGCCTTCCAGGGAACAGTCAGGGTTGATTTCTTTTAGGATTGACTGATTTGATCTTCTTGCAGTCCAAGGGACTCTCAAGAGTCTTCTCCAGCACCATAGTTCAAAAGAATCTATTCTCTGGCGCTCGGCTTTCCTTATAGTCCAACTCTCGCAGCCATACATGACTACTGGGTATACCATTGCTTTGACCATGGGGACTTTTGTTGGCAGGGTGATGTCTCTACTTTTTATCATGCTGTTTTGGTTTGCCATCGCTTTCCTTCCAAGGAGCAGGCGTCTTTTAATTTCATGGCTGCTGTCACAGTCTGCAGTGATCTGGGATCCCAGGAACGTGAAGTCTGTCACTACTTCCACGATTTCCCCTTCTATTTGCCAAGGAGTGATGGGGCCAGATGCCATGATCTTAGTTTTTTTGATGTTGAGCTTCAAGCCCACTTTTGCGCTCTCCTCTTTTATCCTGAGCAAGAGGCTTTTAAGGTCCTCTTCACTTTCTGCCATTAGTGTGGTATCGTCTGCATATCTGAGGTTGTTGATCTTTTCCCCAGCAATCTAAATTCCGGCTTGTGATTCATCGAGGCCAGCATTTCGCATGATGTACTCTGCATATAAATTAAATAAGCAAGGTGACAATATACACCCTTGTCGTACTCCTTTACCTATGCTAAACCAATCAGTTGTCCCATATCCGGTTCTGTCACTTCTTGACCCTTATACAGGTTTCTCAAGAGACATGTGAGGTGGTCTGGTATGCCCATCTCTTTAAGGACCTGCCATAGTTTGTTGTGACCCACACAACACCACACCAGTACGTTACATCCTTGTAAGTCCATTGAAGTCAGTGGGCTCAGAAGGGTGCAACTTTACTTAGGACTGCAAATAGCCCTGGCATGAGACTTTCAAGGGACTTACAGATTGTGATTGTCCAGCATGGAGTATTGCACCAGTTTAGAGTCCACGAGGCAGACCTCCCATTTTCTCCAGGGATGTGTTCATGCCTCATATGCTTTCCAGCTGGTATGTAAGATGCAGAGTTGCCTGGAAAGGGAGGGCCGTTTTAATGTCTACTACGCATTAGCGATCAATTTTCCAACTCTGTGCTTAATTAAAATGATAGATTCCTTTGATTATTCTGCAGTTGAATTAAGTCCAATGGTCCCCCCCCACACACACACACTGGTTTGTTCCCCTTATGTGGTTCATTAATGTCTGCACTATCCATAATTTGCCAGATTTTTTTTTTAGAATTGGCAGTCTTAATGAGTGCCAAGAGAATCCTGTCACTAGCTTCTTCCCAGTGAAGTGGGAAATGTGTTCACCTTATTTTCGTTGGCCGACTTGCCGTCTTATCACAAATGCCTGCAGGCAGGGCTTTTTTTGTAGAAAAAGCCCAGCAGGAACTCATAAGAATAATAGGCCACACCCAGCAGCATATTAGGCCACACCTTGACAGCACAGCTCATTAGCATATTAGGCCACACCCCCAGGTTACCAGAAGTGTGGTCATCCAGCCACACCCACTTTTTGCTTCTTATTCTGTTTACTTTGTTTATTCTCAAAACCCAGGGGTTTTTTTGTAGCAGGAACTTCTTTGCATGTTAGGCCACACACCCCTAATGTAGCCAATACTAATGACTTTCTGCTGTTGGGTGTGGCCTATTATGTTAATTAGTTCCTGCTGGGCGTGTCCAACTCAGGAGCCAGCCGGAACTCTGTTCCTGTGCGTTCCTGCCCAAAAATAGCCCTGCCTGCAGGATAAACTCACACACACACACAAAACTAGGAACACTTCCAAAATTCTCCTACTCTGCATTCTGGAATATTAAATAATTTGATCTTGTTTATGAAGTGGAGCCAATGCATTAGAAGCATCCCTTTGTTCCACTTTGTACAGAGTATTGTGCACGTGTTATTTGCCGCAGATTTTACTCTCTTCACTTCATATGCATCTCCCCTCCTTTCTTATACACATGGATATATTTATAAAACTCTGCAAAAATAAATGTTATGGACTGTAGAGCTGTACCAACATTCTTCTTCTGAGGTGTATTACTGATGCTCAGGAGTGTGCATCAGCAAGACATCACACAAAAAGAATCTTAATACAATC